TAAATTTATAAATATAAATATATGAATATTTTAATATATATTAAAATATATAAATATATTTGTATTTATAGATTTTATATTTATATATTTATAAAAGTAATTGGATTAAATTTATTATCCCCTCATATATTATTATACATTATTAGCGTAATTTTAATTTAATTAAAAATTAGAATACAAATATTCTATACTATACTAATATACCATTATATTATTTTCATTGTGTATAAATAACATTGTGTATAAATTATAAAACTAATAATTTGTATACTATGCTATCCTAATATATAATTTGTATATTATACTAATATATAACTTGTATACTATACTAATAGTATAATATACTATACTATAATATTATTTGTATACAAAACTAATATTTCTATATATAAATATATAAATATGTAAAGATATAAATATATAAATATATTTACAAATATAAAGATATAAATATATAAAGATATAAATATATGTAAAGATATAAAAATATAAATATATAAATATATTAATATATAATGATCTAAATATATAAATATATAAATATATATCTTTAATATTTTGTACATGTAAATATATAAAGATATAAATATATAATGATCTAAATATATAAATATATAAATATATGTAAAGATATAAAGATATAAATATATAAATATATAAATATGTAAATATATAAATATATATCTTTAATATTTTGTACACGTAAATATAATTTATATATATTTTTAAACTTTTTTCTAATATTTATTTTTAAAAATATAATATTACTTTAAAATTTAATATTAAAATTTTTAATTTTTTCTTAAATATATAAATATATAAATGTCTAAATATATAAAGATATAAAGATATAAATAAATATATAAATATATAAATATGTAAATACATAAATATATAAATATATAAATATATAATATGTAAATATATAATATGTAAATATATAAATATGTAATTACATAAATATATCAATATATCAATATTTAAATATATTAAAATATATAAATATATTTGTATATATAGATTTTATAAATATATAAAGATATAAATATATATATATATATATATATATATATATATATATATATATATAAAGATATAAAGATATAAAGATATAAAGATATAAATATATGTAAAGATATAAAAATATAAATATATGTAAAAATATAAAGATATAAATATATGTAAAGATGTAAAGATATAAATATATAAATGTATAAAGATATAAATGTATAAAGATATAAATAAATATATAAATATGTCAATATATAAATATATCAATATATAAATATATAAATATATTTAAATATATATTAAAATATGTAAATATATTTGTATTTATAGATTTTATATTTATATATATTTATACATATATACATTTATTTGTATATAAATATAATTTGTTTGTAAGTTATTATGAAACAATCCTAATAGCTTAGTGGTTGGAGTTTCGACCTCCAACCAGATAAGATACTGGGTTCGATTAGTAATAAATCAAACTTAATTAAACTTTTAAAAAATATTTATAATTTACAAGGAGGTAGGGGTTGGGGGTTAGATAAATAGAAAGGGGTTGTTAATAAATAAATATAAATAAAAATAATAAACTTTGTCATTGATTTAGCGATCAATTTAAATCGGTTACTATTTTATTAATTTATTTATTGATTTAGCGATCGATTTAAATTGATCACTATTTTATTAATTTATTTATTGATTTAGCGACCGATATAAATCTAGTCGCTATTTTTTTAATTTATTCATTGATTTAGCGACCTATTTAAATTGGTCGCTATTTTTTTAATTTATTCATTGATTTAGCGATCGATTTATATCGGTCGCTATTTTTTTAATTTATTCATTGATTTAGCGACCAATATAAATCGGTCGCTATTTTTTTAATTTATTCATTGATTTAGCGACCGATTTAAATTGGTCGCTATTTTTTTAACTTTGCCACCGATTTAGTGACCAATTTAATATATTAATTTCGGTCGTTATTTTACGACCGAAATGAAAATCGGTCGCTAACACATTAGCGACTTGACTTTTTGCGACGACGCCTTTTGATCGCTAATTTCGGTCGCTAACTGATTAGCAACCGATTTTTTGACATTAGCGATCGATTTTTTTGGTCGCTAAAATGATTTTTTTCTAGTAGTGATTCTTCACTAATAATTATGGATTGCAAAAATTGTTTCAAAATTGTATATCTTCTCACCATTAATATAAGAAATGTAAAATATGTATTTGAAACAACAAATAATTTTAAATGTGAGAATTTATAAAAAAGGTCAAAGGTTGATATAATGAAGTGATATATGATAGTGTTCCTAATGAAATAAATGTCATCAACAATTTTAGTAATTCAACCATGTTCATTATAAATGACATCATCTCTTTTGTATTATTTTGCCGCATAGGTATTCTTTAAAACAAGATTTAATGTTGCACAACACAAGATGTTAAAAAATCTTAGGAAATGAAACTTCAATACTTATTCAAGCACATTTGCACACAAGAGCATTTTTTGTTATAACTTGGACAACATTTTATTCCTCTACTTCTTTAATAACTTCAACTGTTCTATCAATTATGTAATGTTTTAATTTTTATTTAGCATCAACAACTTTTACAAATTTAGGAACCCCTTCACTAGTGACCATAAAATTAGTTAGAGATTTTTTTTGAGAATTTGACCAATAATCAGAGACTATGCTAACCCTTTTTTGTTTCAAATTGATTTAATTGATTTGAGTAACCTCTACATGTTTTCTTTTTTGTAAGAGTGTTGTTATTAAAGTATTGTATTCAAGAAGAAAAAAACCACTAAAATTATGATTTGCAATAAATAAATATGAATTCACGTAATAAGAGTTTCTTACAAGATTAAAAGGTAACCTAGAAGAATAAAATATCTAGCTACGAGAGCTTTGATTGTGTCTCTATCTTCTAAGTTAAATACCCTCTCAACATGACAACTTGTTCTCTTTTTTAATGAAGTATTCTTGGATCTATCTTTAGTTGACAAGGAAACATGCTTAAGTTTCAATATATTTTTAACCAACTCAACAACTAATTTCAATTTAATCAAATATCCATCACTGGCCATCGGAGTACTAATTCCATTTCCACAAATATTTTAATAAGTGGTTTTTTACTTAAAAGTATGGACTTTAAAAAGTTTGTTGACAAAAATTACAATACCATTTCTTATTTTCACATGCTTATGTTCCTTTTTTTTTTTTTCTTTTTATTAAACTAACATAGGTCCATAGAAAAAACATGATCATCTTTAGAAAATTAGTTACTTTAAATTTTTGTTGAGTTGGAATTAAAAAAATTTGATATTAATGATGACATTTTGAATAAAAAATAATGTAAGAAAAAGAAAATCTATGTAAGAGGAAAAAAGTTAATTAATTAATAAATAAGTAATAAATTAAAATAAATAATAATAATATTTTAACTTTTTAATTTAATAAATACTTTCTAATAATTTAATTAATTAAAAATTAAAATTAAAATTATTATTTACAATAAAAATAAGCTATAATTAAATCATTGAGTTAAATTTAATTTATAAAAAATAATTAATCTAAAATAAAAAAAATTATAATTTTATTTTAAACTTCCAACTAAATTAGTATATAACTTTTTAAAAATAGTAATTATAAATAATATTATCCCTAATTAAAATTAATATTAATATTTAAATTATCATAAAAAAAATTTTAATTAAACATTTAATTTAACAAGGAGAAGATGTTCTAATGAAGATAATTAGAGAAAATCTAATAATGAAGTCCACATTGCACAAAATGATAATTCAAGTTCAATTCTATTTATGTTTATGATGACAACAAATTTTAATTTAAAAAATTATAAAGTATATTATTTTGATTCAATTTTTTCAATCATAAAGATTAACGGGTTAATTTTGATGAAAACAATAAAAATAAGATAATGTTTGATGATAATATAACAATGGAAATAAGGTGTAAATAAGGTAGACAAGAGAGTATAATGAATATATTTTCATATTTTGTAGTGCACTTTTCTTGGTATTCAAAAAGTAAGTTGTAATAACTTATAATATATATAGTTATCCTACAATATAGCATCCAAAGCTTTATGGCTTATATACTTTTCGAAAAAAATCAATTGGGAACAATGTATGACTAAATACAATCCACCTAATAGAGGGTTAACCATGTTATTATGAGTGATTATTTCTATTATGTACGTGGTTAACTAGTATTCTACAATACACAATCTCATAAAACTAATTAACAAAACTTTCTCATTCATCCCTTTTAATTCTTTCTCGTCAAAATGTGTGTTGTCTCTGTTAGTGTAAAAACATAAATTTATATTGCTTATATTAAATCAATTAGACTTGAATGACATTCTAAGTCAATGTGATATTTTTGTAAATAAAATAAGAACAAAAAATTCATGAGTTAGTTATTCAAATAGCTTATGTTTTATGTACATATCAATCAATACAAAAACAAAAATAGAAACGTCCTTCTTTTATTATTATTATTTTGTTTTTTTTACATGAGCCTCTATCCCATCATATATCTCTTCTTGAATAGTGAGTGATTACTCTTTTCACTCACTTTTCCTTATCCCATCACTTCTATAGATGTCATTCTCCTATCATTATCAATAATTACTCTTTCTCAAGATATAACAATATATCTTTATCTATTTCAATTAAATTTATGTTAATCTCCTGCTTAAAAAAATTGTTCTTTTTTAGGTTAGTTTATTTAATTTGAATGCATAATTTGTTTTTATGTTGATTTTAAGTTTATTTTTTACTTAGTTTCTCATAATATAATAATTGTGTAAATACATGATAAATGAAAGAAAGTTATTAAAAAATTGATATATATATATATATATATATATATATATATATATATATATATCAATTCTTTGTATAACTATATTAAGTCTATTTTTTTATATTGATAGTTAATTAATATGAAAATTTAGTCACTCAGAAGTGATCCTCCCATCAAATGTAGAATACTCGTAACAACCTATGTGAAAATGTTATTTTTTTCATATCTTGAAGATAATTAACTTTGATTGTGAGAGAAGAAGAGAGTGGAGGTAGAGGTAGCAAATAGGTTTCACCGGTTGAGAAAAAGAAGAAGAAGAATTTAATTTGAGCAGACTAGAACGTAAAGACACGAGGTGTAGGTGTGAATTAACCTAACGAGAAGCCACGTCTCATCTGATGCAGAATGAAGGGATGTGGCCCCATGCATTTATTTATATACAAAGTATTACTTTGCTTCTGTTGCTCTTATTACACCGCCGATCCAACAAGTACCACATCGCTACGTGCTCGTAAATCTCTTCGCCTTCGTCTACGTGTGAACTTCCACTGCTCTCTCTCATGCAGGAGACACTTCCCTCCTGCTTTCTCAGAACAACACTGGTTTTTGTATTTCAAGTTAACTCTTCATCCACAAAATTTCAATTCAGGGCCAAATATTCCAATTCCAAATCCATTTCAAACGCAAGTCATACATTTTTTATTCATTTTTAATAACTTCCAAAAAATATTAAATCAAATAATATAAACTTACTTAATATTTTGTCTATGTTACATTTTACTAGAAAAAATTAATAATTAAAACACACTGAGAATATAGTTTTAATATTATATTATCCATTACATATTATTATAACTTTTGGAGTAATCATTTAATTAATAATATTTTGTATAATCTTAACCATATACATGCATTTTTTCTGTAACAATATAAAGAAATAAATTAAAAACTAATCATTATCAGATAATTTTTCTGAAAAAAGTTAATTTATATTTTAATATATTTTTATTTTTCTGAAAAAATTGTATAGGCTAAATTGTGTTTTTTTTTCTCTATTTATTTTAATAAACTGAGTTTTGTCCTGTGTTTTAAATGTTTGAATCTATTCTTTTAACTTTCTTAAAACAAAAATAAAATAAATCCCCGTCTAATTGGAATGATAATATAGATAGAACAAGTTGTCGGTGACAGATTAAATTGTCACAAAGCGGTCTACGGATATTGGCAATTGCAAAAACGACATAATAATAATTTAATAGTATTAATATATTGTAATTTCAAAGAAAAATACTAATTACAAATATACAAATTTAAATTTAAAATTTTACTTGTATTTAATTAAGTATTTTCATTTAAAAAAGTTGAAAATGAAAATTTATATAAAATTTTCATTTGTAATATACTTATCAATAGTAGTAACAAATGAAATATTTTAAAATAAAGCTATTAAATTATTATGTTAATAATTATTACCATTTTAATATAACTATTTCATCAATAATAATTTAATATAATAGACTACTACTAATATAACGTAACTGTCTAATATAATGTAAAATAAATATTAATACTACTTTTTTTACGTTTATAAGCAAGTGTCATATAATATTATAATTTTGGGTTTAGGGTTAATATATATATAAAATGGTATTCAATTTTAAAGTCTGACTTAATTTATACCGAAAGAGTTACATTATTTAGGACTATCGTAAACCATTTAAAAATAGAGGACCAAAAATTAGAATTAAAAAATAAATACATGAAAAAAACTAGTTTATTTTAGATTCCAATTAAAACTATTTGTATATATATTTGTTAGATTCACATTAAAAATGATTTTGATTTGTTTTAGAAAGATTAAATCCATAATCATTTTTGTATAATTATTTTAAACTAAAATATCCTTAATTAAAAAGTAGAGAGGTTATATTGAAAATACATGTAAAAGGGATAAAAGAGTATTAATAATAAAAACAATTCTAAAACATAAATTTAAATATAAATGTATCGTTTTAATTAAGTTCATTATTTTTTTAAATCTTAATGAATTACTTAAATGAATTTTATAAATAAAATAATAGAAATATTTAATAAATTTAATAATATAATAGCAAAATAAAGTAAAATTTATATTTTTTATTGAAAGCAATATATTTAATTTTTATTTTTAAAGAGAACAAGTTTATATTTAAACCATAAACTTTTGATTAGTTTACTAATATTGTGGTGGAAAATGTATGGAGCCAATTACAAACATTACTGAAAGAGTGTAAGCAAAGGGTCACACCTGCATGCAAGACATGTGTGCGACTAAAACGAAACGTCTTTCTTTAATTAATACATATTTTTTAAACAAAAGTAAGGTCATTTTGGTAAATTAAACAGGAACCCTGCCAAATTCTTCAATTTTCCGTCAGCCCGCACCTCTCGCAACCTTCTTCCTTTTCAGACAATTTTCTTCTGCTCAGAACAATAACAGCAATAATAAAAAAAATTAAATAAAAGCAAAAAATTACTTATCCATATTTTTTTAATGAAAATATTTTATTTTATGCTATTGTTCATTTTTGTATGTGAAAATAAGACTGAACCTCTCTCCTTTGACAGGTGAAACCGCTAAACCCACCCCTTAAAACTCAACACCTTGTTCTTTCACTCAACTCATCTTCGCTTCTAAGCTGGTGGTGCTCTCTCTCTCTCTCTCTCTCTCTCTCTCTCTCTTAAATGAAAACTCTTTTTTATTGAAGACTCTGTGCTTGCATGCATTCTTAGCCAATTTCATTCTACCTTTTTTTATTTTCTTTCGTTTATTTATGAGTAATAATAGCAATATGAGCATGGTGGGGCTGAAGTAGCTCTATTCTCACACACAGACACAGCGTAACGCCTTGAGCTCAGACTGGAGAGAGGTGATTTCAGTTTCGGGTTGCGCTTATTTGCTTGTTGAGTCATTTGTTTGTTTCGGCGGAAAACCCGTTTCGAAACTGTCCTTCTTGTTTTGCTGATCTGGTCCAAGAGTAGCGACACACAAACCATGGCCGGTGCCACAAATTGGCTTACGTTTTCGTTGACTCCCGTGGAAATGCTCAGATCCCCCGACTCTTCCCCTCACTGCATCCTCGATAACTTTTATGCCACCAATGGTAACGCCTCTTCGCTAAACCCCTCTCCTGTTATGTTTTACTCAATACCCTTTTGGAATTGTATGTGTTGTTCACGACCCCACTCACTCACTCACCCACGTGAAACCCCTCCTATTTATACTGCACAACCTCCAATTTCATTTCTCACTATCAAATTCGTAATCTTTTCTACATACCAAGTAGTAAGCTTGTTCTTCCTCGTGTACATATAGACATTGGTATGTGTATGGTTATTATATTTTTACACGGTTTTGTTATTTGCAGGGTGGACAAGTTCCAAGGTTTTGATGGATTCTGAGAGTGGAAACCAACCACTCGTGGTGCCGAAAGTGGAAGATTTTTTTGAGAACCAAACGGAGACGCAACAAGACGATTCTTCGCTGACCCAAATTTACGACCATGACTCTGCCTCTGTTTACTTCGGCGACCAACAGGATCTGAACGCCATTCCCGGGTTTAAAGCGTTCTCTGCGACCAACTCCGGCTCCGAGTTGGATGACTCAGCCTCGGACAAGACCACTCGGGTTGCACCTGTTGAGTTAGGGGCTCACTCGAGCGAGTCTTGCAAAGGTGCTTTGTCTTTATGTGATGCTGTTGCACATGACAAGGCCAAAGTTGCGGTGGACTTTGATACGCCGAAGAAGGTTGCTCATACCTTCGGCCAGCGAACTTCAATATACAGAGGTGTCACTAGGTAGTAGAACACCACACACCACCATGATCAACCCTTCATTTTTATGAGGGTTATTATTTTTCTATCGTAACTTCCTTTTATGTTTTGAATTAATGAACTAATGTCGCTTGCGGTTGGGTTGTCATTTATTGAAATTGTGGGCAAGGGCGTAATGAATTTGGCATGTTTTCAAGCACCTTTTTTTATTACTGTTATTATTATCATTATTATTATTGTTTTGTATTTCTGGGTTTGTTCATCGCAGACACCGATGGACGGGTAGATATGAAGCGCATCTATGGGATAACAGTTGTAGACGAGAGGGGCAGGCCAGGAAGGGGCGTCAAGGTTCTTCTCTCTCCATTTTGATTATTTCCAACATGGTTTTTGGTGAATGTATTTATTTCGAACTTTGAAAATAAGAATAAAAACAAAAGGAAATAAATAGGGAAACGGATTGCAATGCAGAAAAAGAGGGTGCATGCGTTTGAAAGAGCAGTTAAATTAATGCGTTTTATTATTAAAATTGATTCACGGTTTCTTCAAGTTGGCGGGGAATACCGTATGTGTAAAATTGTTTTTCAAGTATCGAAAATAGGGAAACTTCTTACTTGCGTGGTCTTCAATTTGTCATAATGCTAAATTGATTTTCAGAAAGGAAAATAGAAAGAGAAAAAGATTGACTAAAAAGAAAGGAGTAAATTTTTTTTTTTAAAAAGAGTATTATTTTGCAACAGACATTAATGTCCCTTCCTCTCAACTTGGGTCTAATCAAATGAGTGGCTAAACTAAATATATATTCTTAATTTTTAGTTTTTGTCATTTCAAAGCAAAAGGAAGAGAATGGAAAATTGGTTTTCTTCAATAGGAATTTTCTTTCTTTACAGATTTTGCCGTTCTAAACAAAGTATGAGATTTAGTTTGATGCGATGTGCCGCCGTTTTGTCACTGTGGGTGTGGAGGGGTCTGCAATTTTTCTCAGTTGATTTGATCCATTGTGCCGCCATTTTACATGTTTAATCTCTCTCCTGTTCCGACCTGTTTGTGAGCATGCCTCAGCTTTCATATGTTACTGTTCTGTTTAAGAATTTGTTTTCGATAAATTAATTTTTAACTATTGAAATACATTTTTAAAACTTTAAATTTATTTATTTAGGTTAAAATTTGTAGAATACATTTTAAGTTAAAAAAAAAAAAAGCACTATTTGTGTTCCGAAGAACTAGTTTTCAAGGGTCGGGTCCAAACGAAAGACTCTCTCATTCTGAGTTTGGCTTTAGCTTTTGCTTTTGCTTTCAATTCGCCAGGAAAGCTGGGTTTGACCACAACATCATTTCTCACTCTCTATATTGAAATTTGCACTTACATGAATGTGGAGGGGAGTCCCATGTTGGCTGAAAGGTTGTTCACAGTGTGTCCGGTCCCGCAAATAATAATGTCCTCAAGATTCTGAAACAAATTCACGGGATTTATCAGATCCTTGGATGTTTTTGCAGTCATCAATTACACATAATTAAAATATTTTCTGATGATAATAATCACTTTTGTAAGAAAAGAGAAAAGAAAGGCATTTTGTCTCCCACATTAGAATAGGCAACTTGACATTTCTTTTTGGCCTGGTTTTATTTGGCTCTAGTGGGATTTTTAAGCCTTTGTGGAGTCAAAATTTTGAAAATTTACCATTGATCCGTTCTTCTAACTTTTTGCTACTATTAAACCTTGATGGGGTCCTTCAGTGTCTGTCTACTATTAGAAAAGACGGGCACTGCAGATGGATGTCATCTCGTGTATTATCTTTTGGCTAGAATGGGAATGAAAAGAAGAGAGCAAAAAGAGGGTAAAAAAAATTAAAGTAGCTTATGTGCAGGCGCCATTGCATGCATTTGATTACTTTTCCTTTGGTCGTTTACATTTTTGCTAAGAAAAGTAGTTTTTGCCTGAATATTTTGACCGCTCCACAAGGTTAAATTTGATTTTTTCTTGGCTTTTTCTTTGCATGGAATGTGGCATTGTGCACTTCATGACTGTGTCATCCGTCCTTTGACTGTTCCTACAGTGTACTTGGGTAAGAAATGTTGCCTACTTAATCTCTGGTCGCATCCCAACTTATTTTAAACTTGACACTGTTAAAAGAGATGTTAAATAGTTGTGATTATATTTATTATCAGGTGGATATGACAAAGAAGAAAAGGCTGCAAGAGCTTATGATTTAGCAGCTATCAAGTACTGGGGACCAACAGCAACCACTAACTTTCCTGTAATAGTCACTTTTAATATTCTGTTTCGATCTCCATTAGTTGTTGTGTGCATGAAATCCTAAGTATATAGATTGAGCTGAAATCCTTGGAAATGGGTCTAGGGAGTGAGGGAAATTCTGATACTAGTTGAAGTTCGTGTATTATGCTCTAGTTGATACTAGTTAAACTCAAATTTGGTCTCCCTTGGTCTCAAAGAAAACATGCATTCGTTAGCATCCGAAAAGTGGAGGCTAAGGTTCTAAAGAGTCTCAATGAAGTTGAGCAGGTCAACAATAAGTAGAATCTTGCAGGAACCTCAACGTAATTTTTTAGCATGAAATTTAGTTGGAATGAGCCTTTCAATGGTCAAACACTTAGTTTAATGGGGTAGAAGCCAAGGGGCTTAAGTTGAAATGATCTTTCAAGTGGTTGTATTCTATGTCTCAAATATAGAATTTTATAGATTTATATTGGGGACACTTGAAATGTAGAAATAGGAATTGTGTTTTGGATGTTATCGCTTATCATGTTTTTTTATAATCTAATAATGTCTCAGATTTGCAATTATACAAAGGAAGTGGAGGAGATGAAACATACAGGAAAGCAAGAATTTATTGCATCACTGCGAAGGTTTGCGAGGCGAGCACTGCCCAGTTAAACTTATTTAGCACCCCATATTATTATACTTGAACTAAAATTGCACTGGTCCCCTCTTGCAGGAAAAGTAGTGGATTTTCACGGGGAGCCTCCGCATACAGAGGTGTTACGAGGTACTATAAAATCATAATTTATCACACCATCGATGTGCAACCTTGTAATTATATTCCCTGTTCCTCTATCTTATGCGTCTAACTTTTTATCCTTCAGGCATCATCAACAGGGTAGATGGCAAGCGAGAATTGGCCGAGTTGCGGGAAACAAGGATCTATACCTGGGAACATTTGGCAAGTTCATAGAATATCTTGCTTTAAGACTGTGTTTGGACATGTTTAATGGATTACGTATGACTAGTTACATCTGTGTTTTTACATGTTTCTACCGTGTTCCCAACACTGATCATATATATATTCTGAGCCGGTGACATAATAGGTTGAAATATAAGTCCTCAAAGTCTCATTCACAGTAGACCAAGGTGCAATGTTAACAATCTAGGACATTGGTTTACTGGCATGACTTCAAAGTTGAAACAACACTTATTACTTGCATGTTCTATAGTGTTTGTTCTCTATTTCTGAAAGTTGAATAGTTTTGTTGTTGCATTGTGTTACAGCAACTGAAGAGGAAGCAGCTGAGGCATATGATATTGCAGCCATAAAGTTCAGAGGTGCAAGCGCTGTAACCAATTTTGAGATGAGCAGATATGATGTGGAGAATATATTGAATAGCTCTCTTCCAGTTGGTGGGGTAGCAAAACGCTTGAAGCTTTCCCCGGAATTGGAGAACAAAGCTCTTGTTGGTAGTACTAATGAACAACCTCAGCGCACAAACGAGAGTAGTACCATCAATTTCTCGGCCATTCAGCCAGTTGCATCCATGCCATATGATTCTGTAAACACGGGTTACCCTCACAACCTCTTCCACCATTTCCATCCTTCCAACAGTGGAAGTAGCACAGCTCATGAGTCTGCTGCAATGACCAATGCAACTGCACTGACCATCCTTCCACCACCACCACCAGCAGTTCCTGGGTTCTTTTTATGGCCACCTCAGTCATTCTGAGTTGCTGAAATGATCAACTAGCTAACTTTCAGTTTTTCTAACAATTCGAAAGCTAGTTTTTGGTGCATTTTAGCCTGACCTGCTTCTGGGTCGACCCCTCTTTCGTAAACCCTTTTGCTGAGAAGAATGAAAGATAGGAAATCCAAGTGATAGTAACTATAGGGAGTGGATTATGTAAGTAACTTCTCTCAAACTCACATGAGGAATCTTGAGTTGAGCTTATTCAAGCTTCATCAAAGCTTTCTAATTGCTTGATAACTTGCAGCAGAATAAATACTTCCTTTTTTTCTTCTCCCAACTTGATTAAGATTTTTTTATTTTTATTTCTTGTATACACAAAATACGCATGCAATTGCGGAAGTTTGTGGAACGCAATTATGTTTGGAACTGCTTTGGTCAGTGATTGATTTTTGTACTTTTCGTAAAATCTGTATTGGTATATGTTTCACATAAGTTTTTCAAGATATTTAATTTAAGTTTTAGTCTTCTTATAATTGTCTTTTAAAATTTGAAATGTATTATTTTTCATATTTCAAGTGGTTTAGATAGTGTTTACGAAGGGAAAAAGTAGTTTAAAATAAGAGCTTGAGTATATGAAGTTTCTTTACCATAATAATTAAAATTTGTTATCATCTAGTAGTACCAAATTTGATTTTTAAACTTGTCTAAATCGTTTAGTCCATCTGACACGATAGCTGTATGATACAAAATATAGCATTTGTAATGTCAATTAACATGTTAACATAATATTATTCATCTCAAAATTAATAGATCTAATTAAATATTAATTTTAAATTTTGATATTTTTAAAGATTAGATAAAATATGTTAAAGACTCGCAAGATAATTCAATTTTTTATTTATAAATTTGATAGTGTAAATATTACAAAATATTTAATTAGATCTATTAATTAGATCTACAAAAGTATGCATTCGCAAAATATTTTGTATTAATTTTGTAAATATTACAAAAGTATGCATATTTTGTAATATGCATTTTGTATAGTTTATTATAATTTTGTATAATATTATTCATCTCAAAATTAATAATATGATTTATAATATGCATACTTTTGTATAGTTTATTATATTTAAATTATTTATTGACGCTGCCTTAAATGAATAATATAATAGGGTTAGATTTTGATTAAGAAAAATATATGCAATATTAAATTTTACACCAAAATTATATTTTTTTAAAATCTGAAACTAAAACTAAAAGAATAAGAAAATAAAAATTACAAATGAAGATTTTGAAGGAGGCTGACTTATAATTTCGTCATAAAATAAATTAGTAGTGGAAGACTTCACTAAAGTCCTAAATAATTAGGGTAAGTTTGGATTTAATTTTATTTCAAATCAATTTTTAATTTAAAAATAAAGTTAAGAACTTGGAAAAGAAAGAAAGTTTGATTTTTTTTCCCACTGTGCCGAAAAAGGTAAAAATGAACAAAGAAAAATGATAGATAGAAATCTATAGTAAAAACTTCTTTTTAGAGAGAAAGAAAAATGTTAATTTTATAATTATTATGATATGATAGAAAAAAATACTAATTTTGTAAAAAATAATAAATGTTCATGTATCATTGATCAATGAACAAAATAGGCAAATATTTGAGTGGGAAAATTATGTTCATAAAATAGAATACCGCGTGGTGTATAATTTGTCATCCAGTTTGTAAGTATTTTACTACAACATTGCTGTATAATTGAAAATTCATAATCTTGTATTATTGTAACTTAAGATACAACACGATGTAAAATTATGATTTGAAGAAAATTTTGTGAATAAAATTAAGGAAAAGATTAATACTTTAAATAAATGAATTATGAATAAAAGATAATCGATTTAATTTTAAATAATTTTAGCAGAAAAATGTATTTAAGATTTTAGATAAAAATAATATGTTCATTTTACTTAATTTTTAAAAATAGAAATAGATTTAAATTAACTCATAAAGAAACTTAGATAAAAAAAATATGCATCATTCAGAAATGGAAATAATAGTTCAAAACAATAAAATAAGTTTGATTTTATATTTACTTTTATTTTTCTGGAAGAGGTTTTTATTATCCTTTATTCAGTACAGTAATATAGGAAAAAAAAAGAGGAAATAGAAAAAATAGAATGAAAACAATTAACAAGATAATAGAACTTAAATTATCTTTCCTCTCCTTTAATAAGGAGAAAATGGGAAGAATAATTTTTCTTTTTATTTTTTTTAAATATAAAAATTTTATAAATAAATTTACATCAAGAAATTCATTATAATTAAATTTCAAATTAGTATTTTTCTTTTCACTATTTCAAATAAATAAACAAGTTTCTCCATTTTTAATTTTTTTTAATTCTTTCAATCTAAGTACTACTTTTTGTTACATATTTATTCTTTACTTAATTTTATTATTTATCATTCTTTTACATTATGTTACTACAATAAATTAGAACGTAACCATGTATTATTGGTCGAAATAAATTTTATCAGTTCAAATATATTAAAAGTACAACTTTTGGCAAAAGAGATTTTAAGACATATCTATTGAAAGAGAATTCTTACAAGAGACTTAAACATAAAAATATTATTTAAAATAAATATTATATATACTTTATTTAAAATTAGAAAAAAAATATTTGTATTAAAATAACACTTTTTATTCATAAACAATCTTTCTAAAAATTCCTTTTATAAATGGTTATTAACGTTATATTTAATCTTATTGAGATATGGAATAACATAAAGTTCTCATTAAAAGGTATAATACTATTATATTATTATTATTATTATTTAATTCACATACTTAACTATGGAGTAGGCTTGAGAAAATATTAGATGAGATTCAAATTTAATCCCACTAATTTGGACTAAACCAAATTTTACATTATTAAATTTATATTTAACCATTTGACTTATTGAGTTAATAGGTTATGATTTATCTCTTTACGGATTAATTGTGGTGGTTTATTTTATTAGATTCAAGTTGGACCAGATTAAAAAAATAAAAAAGATTATAATTGTTATATTTTTTATTTCAATTTTACCTATCATTAGAATTAAACTTTTAGTGAAAAAAAGGGTGATTTCGATTATTATTTTTATAATAGACTATGATTCCATAGATTATTACTAAATTTGAATAAAATAAGTGATACCAAAAATAAGAATAGAAAATTATATTCTATAAAATTTTAAAATTTAATATATTTATAACTACAGCAAGCAAAGAAATATTTCATAATTCAAGTGTTTCTTCTTTCCTGCATTTCCTTCAAAATCAAAGTACTACTACAACAATAATTTACCTTCAACGTAAAAAATATCAAATTTATTAACATAATACCAATTAAAAATTCTATTAAATATTTAATTGAAGTTTATCTTATTTTTATAGTTTATTATTAGTAGGTGAAAATAGATTTAATTGATGAATCAATATAAAAAATAAAAACATAAATTTGAATTAAAAAATTAATGACTTAAATTAATTCTATTTATATTGATAAGATAGATTATGATTTAAATGAAATTATTTCATACTAATTCATAAAAATAATATGTTTTATAAGAATATAAATATTATTTTATTAATATATATATATATATATATATTATAAATTAATTTAATAAAATATTTATTTTATAAATATTTAACATTCATTTATTTAAAAATTTAATAAATTATATTAATTATTAAAAAATAAATAATTCAATTTTTGACTAAATTAATCTATTTTAATGATAAATTATTATATTTAAAATAAAAATTAATTTTATTAACCTAATTTAAATATTTAAAATATATATTTATTTAAATATTTTTTAATTAATTATTTTGATACAAATATGTTAATATATATATATATATATATATATATATATATATATATATATTATTTTAATGGGATAAAACTAGGATAAATTTTAAAAAAATTATGATGATTTTAAAATATATACTAAATTTATGTCATTAATTATTTTATACTTATATCATATAATCAGACCATCATTCGTATTGAGAACTCTAAATATAATATATCTTAGAAATTAAATATACATCATAGAAAATAGTGTGACGCATTATATCTATCTTAACCTAATTTTCTTCATATGACTACCTGCTCATTTGGTTACAATTATTTATTACTACTCAATTTTTTAATTATTAACTATTTATATTTTTAATTACATCATTAACAATAATTTGTATATCTTAATTAAGTATTTTAGATTTGAATTACAATAATGTTGATTGTATGCATTCAATATCTTAGATAATATTATCCATTATTTAAATATCATAAATAATATGTAAAAATCAAACAATTTTAAAAAAATTTCTTAACTTTATTTTCAAACAATATAATATTGTCTTTCTTTATAATTTTCCTAAGTTATTTATTTTAGTTTTTATTTTATTTATTTTCCTCCATAAAATCATATGCAGTGTAAAGATAATTAGGAGAATTTTGATAAGGATTAGTAATATTTTACGTGTATAATCCAAAAAAAAAAAAGATCATAGAAAGAATTAGACTTAGTTTCTATTTTTAGAGTATCAAATAAAAAGATATATGTTTAATTTTTAAAGTAATTTTTAGTAATAAAACAACTTATTGCAAAAACACTCTATACCGCGAGTATCTTCTATCTCTAAATTAAATTTATTAATATTTAAAAAAATATTAATAATTAAAGAAATATTATATCATAATTAAAATTATTTGTTTTAAATGTAAAGTATAACTCATATATTCAAAATCATTTACTCATCATACTTTTATCTGTAATAAAGTTTTATTAAAAGAGGTTGATATTCTATAAATTTGAATTATGAAAATAAACATTTACTTAATAATTTAGAAATAGAAGCATAAATGATCATAAGATAAAGATAACATGTTTGTAAAAATAAGTACATTGCTCGTATTGACAAAAATGGAATACAAAAACAAGAACAATCATTTATCTGTAAAAAGTCCTAATCGATGCAACCCATTGCGAGCCTCCTCCGAATCGGGGTCAACCTCAAGAACCTTCTGGAACGCATCCATGGCCTCTTCTTTCATTCCCTTCCATTCGTAACACTTTCCAAGCAGACACATCACCTCCGACTCATTCCCTTTCCTTCCATTCACCTCCACTGCTTCCACCAAATCCTCTATCGCCGACTCAATCCGCCGCCGCCGCCGCCGCCGGTTTACGCCCACCTTCAGCTCCGCCCTCCTCACGAGCGCGTCCGCGCGCTCCGCGGCGGAGAGGGACTTGGCCGCCGGCGAGGAGAGGGCGGCGTCGAGGGACTTGATGGCGGCGGCGCGGTGGCCCATGAGGTTTAGGGCTTGGGCTCGGAGGATGTGGGCCCACGGGTCCCTGGGCCAGATGGAGAGGGCCTTGTCGGTTTCCATGAGAGCGCTCTTGGCGTGTTGGTCTCGGTGCGAGGTGGATCTGGCCCGAGCCAGGTGGCGCGATGCTTGGGTCAGGTGGCGATTCGGTTCCGGTTGGCGGTTGTTGTTGCGGGTTCGGGTTCTGGCTTGGGTTGTTTGGCTACGAATACTGTGCATGATGAAGAACAAAGAAAGGGTTAGGATTAAAATGCCCAACTGCAGCATCGCCTCCGTCGCCATTGATACCCAGATTTTCGTTTCCTCTTGGAATAATGGAGTTGTGTGTATTAAGAAAAATAATCCGGTTAATAAATTAAAAAAATGTTATAATATCATATAATATTTCTATGAATATTATATAAACAATATAAAATAAATTATTTAATATTTTAGAAACTGATAAAATTTTAATATTTTTTAGCCTAATAAATTAATTTATAAAAAATTGCAATAGAAAAAAAAATAGTTTTTGTGTTTTACTTCTTTGGGAAGATAAATAAATAAATAACGTGTGCTTTGAAAAATATATGTCCTCACATCTTTCTCATCCATTAAAAGAAAGCATAATTTATAATTTGGAAAATGTTATTCAAATTTCAAATTTTATATTCTGTACACCAATTACCCTTTAAAATGTTTCTAACATTAGACCAGTAATTGGAATTAACAAAATATTTTAAGGTTTAATTTTATAATATAATAGCTTAATTATAATTAAAGTTAAATAAAATATAAATTAATAGATTTCAACCTTTAAAATACATATAAAAAATAAAATAACAAATTTAAGTAAAATATGTATATGATATTTAAATTGAAATTTTAGTAGAATAAAAAAATTAATATTTTAAGTCGATTTTGATTTTTCTTAAGTTAAATTATAATTTTTTAATCTATATCACTTGATTGATATGGATTTCACTAGTTTGAAATTAATTCTTTTATTTAGATTATTAAATTATTTATCTTGTTTGAATTAGTGAAAAGTACAAAACTTACGGATTTTATGATTCAAAATTATAAAAGATTATAATAATTAGCAATGTAATATTTGAAGAAAATAAAATATGGGAATGGGATAAACATTATATTGGAGATATGTTGAGCTATAATGGAAATAAAAGGAAACAAAAGCTATTCATTTACCACTTGAAGAAAAGAAGAATATTGTTAATTAGAATAAAAAAAACTACTATAAACGATGAAACCTCTTCGAGTTCAAATGATGGAAGAAGGTTTCTCTTAGGAAGATATAACTCATCTTGCAGTATATGCAACAACTATTAACCATTTTTTTATCAGTGAAGCAGTGAATAATGAAAAGTGGAAGAAGACCATGGATATGAGGATAAAAACAATTAAAAACTGACATGTAATGTTTAAGTGATTTATCTCTAGGAGTGAAAACAATTACAATAAAATAGATATATAAAATCAAAATTAATGAAAAGAGAAATGGATAAATTTAAAATAAAACTTATATATTCACTAGTAAGAAAAATAGATTATAAAATATTTTTTTTTCAAATCAACTATTTATTTTATAATTATTTGTTATTTAGAAAATCACTCAAATTATAAATTTCCTTTTTCATAATATATATATATATATTACCCCAAAAATAAATAAAATATAAATATATCTTATTTCTAATTCTAAATCTACTCCTGTTGAAATTTATTATTTGTAAAATCTCTTCTTGTGTAAATACACAAATTATCACATTTCAAAAGAATATACAAAACATACAGTGTAAGCTAATAATTTAGTTTAAATATGCAAAATTTAAATATGAGATAAAATAACATAATTCAACTTCAATTTTTTTTATATATGAGATCACATACTTATACAAGCTCACATTCACATCACTCAGATACTAAAAGACTTCCAGAAGATTAGATATTGAAATAAACATCAAATATTTTTCGTGTCACACAAAAACTCCCCAAGTGTATAGCACAATGCTCAGTTTGGTATATACATTCACACATGTGACCAAGGTAAATTTCTAAATGACTTGTCAAGACATAATTCATTTTTACATCACAGACTAAGTTATTGGAAATCTCCTTCAACTCTCATCACTTGACTTTTCATCTATGTGATTCCAATGATCAGTACAGTTAGAATATTTCATCGAGTCCCAAATCAATATATATATATCTACAATACTATACACATGAGAATACCTCTTGGTAATTATCATATCACAACATAATATTTTTCAGACCTTTCATCTATGTGATTTTAATGATCAGTACAGTTAGAATATCTCATCGAGTCCCAAATCAATATATATATCTACAATACTATACACATGAGAATACCTCTTGGTAATTATCATATCACAACATAATATTTTTCAAGACACATAATAACATTCAACACATATCATTTCATGGTCATAACATGTATTTTAATAGTTTAAAACATATACATATCATTTCTCATATTATAATAAAATATAATTTTTTTCTTATTTGACCTTTACCCACTCTTTGATCATAAATTTTTTTTAACTAACTTTTATTTTATTGGACTCATTATTTTTGAGGCTTCGATTTGCATATATGAAACTTTAAATTTGGAGTTTTTTTTTTATGATTTTTCGAAAATAGTTGATTGAGTTTGAAAGTGTTAAGTGAAATTTTTATAGAATAGAACTCTACCACTTATCCAAAATTTGCTTGAGCTTAATTCAAGCGTTTTCAATATTGTCTTAAATTTACTTGAGCGGAATTCAATCCACTGGACAGATTTGTGACGATAATGATCGCATAATCTATTCAATATCATGCTTCTAATGTTCTAAATCAAATTAAATCTAAACGGTACCGTCTAAATTGTAAATCAATTAACTAAATTCAATCTAAGAATAATATATTCTTACAAAAGACTATTATTTTCAATTTCATAGAAATCAATTATACATTTACATTCAATACAATTATCATCAATTAACACATATACAATCATACAACCCAATTTCTTGAAACTCTAACAATGTGACCAAGTCACCTTCACAATCCAAATTTTCTAGCCTAGAGTACTATAAAAATTGAAGAATAACTAATTTTTTTTACCTCAAACACATGCCTCAAATTCAGAGAACTCCAAAAACTCTGAAATTTTAAAAAAGATAGATCTTGCTCACAGAACCCAATTAACAAATTGAGCATACCATAATGCTTCTAATATTCATCTTTTCACAACAAAGTGTACATGCAAACCTAAACCCAAATATGCAAAAATGGTCTAAAATTGAGAAGGGAGAAACTTACTCTATTGTTAAGTGGTAAAAAGTTGATATAATTATGCCTTAAATTGTTATGAAACCACTTAACTTATGTTAATTCTAATATATTTTTCTCCCAATATAGGATGAATTTGAGAATACCTTGATACAAGGGTAAGGAGTATAATTGTCAGCATAATTAGAGAAAAATTGAAAGAAAGAAGAACGCTTAAGCGAATAAATGATGCGAGACCCGACCCAAATTCTCTTATAAAAAGATAAGATGTGTTTTGAGAAAATAAGCAGTCTTGGAGAAGAGAAGACACGACTACTGTTAGGATTTCGTCTAATCTTCATCAATTCTTCACTTCTTCATCAATTGGAGCATTGTAATGGCCAACATGAGTGACTAACTTCATTCTCTTGGGATTTGTGTACTTCCTTTGAACTCTTTTGTATCATGGTGATATTTTAAGATCTTAATCTATGCTTTGATGTTGTTATTCTTATCCTTTATGCTTTGGAATGATTTATTCTTGATTGTTTGAGGTATGATTGGAAAATATATCTTGAACCCTAGATCACAGTAAGAATATTTGTTACGTTAATTGCGAGGAATGGAATAAATGTATCAATTGTTTAACATCCTAACCCTAATGTTGGAAAATCTGTTAATTGTGTGAGGAATCAACATTTATTAGGTTTTCTTATGAATTTCATGTGTGAGGAATCAACATGGATGATTTGAGTAGGTGACATCAACATTGTTAGGTTAATTGACGTTCTTAATTGACATAGTCATTACAAAAGAGAGATAAGGAAGGAAGTCAATCCTAAGTACCTTTAATTGATATTTTCTCAACAATTTACAGTTCTTTGTCATTTAATTTCAATTCAACTCTTATTTGCAAAACCCAATCTGTTTTAATCTACTTAGTAAACATAATTGAGAATTTCCATTGAAATCGTTTATCGTGGAATCAACTTTTATTTAATCGAAATACTATATCTGCGATTGATAATTTTGAGTACGCTTGCCAATAATTCAACAAGTATTTCTAGCGCTTGGAGACGATGTTCTTTGAGAGTTAACTTTGATGTATCTTATTGAGTATTATTATTATTATTGTTATTATTATTATTATCATTATTATTATTATTATTATTATTATTATTATTATCATTATTATTATTATTATCATTATTATTATTATCATTATTATTATTATTATTATCATTATCATCGTTATTATCATTATTATTATTATTATTATTATTATTATTATTATTATCTTTTTTATTATCGTTATTATCGTTATTATTATTATTATTATCGTTATTATTATCATCGTTATTATCATTATTATTATTATTATTATTATTATCATCATCGTTATTATTATTATTATTTTTATTATCGTTATTATTATTATTATTATTATTATTTAGTTTTTAGTTTGTGCTAATATTTGTTTGAGTTACTCTTTTGATTTATGCGTTTAAGAGGACGAGATATCTTCGGAGCAATTAGAAATTAATCCGAGAGATTGAAAAAAAAGCTCGGAGGAACCGGGGTAGAAGAAGAAGGGGAAACTCAAGAACAAGTTACAAGAGAATATGCTAATTTTTCTTTCACACTTGATTTACCAGACCCAATTATAGAAGATATGGCAGAAGACGGAGCAAATCTGAATCCAAATCCAAATCCAAATCAAAACCCAAATTCAAATCCACCTAGAAGAACTCTTAGAAATTGTGCTATGCAATAAGGTCCAAGGCATTTTTCCAGCATTGTTATTCCGGATGATCATACATTGCAAATGAATTCATCCTTCTTAAGCTTGATTAGTGCTCATCAATTCACTGGATTGGATCATGAAGCCCCTTATATTCATTTGTCTACTTTTTATGAGTTGATTGGTACCATGGGATTTAGAGCAACAAATCTTGAATATGCATATTTGATATTATTTCCCTTTTCTTTGGCAGGTAGGGCAAAGG